CTCTCTCTCTCTCTCTCTCTCTCTCTCTCTCTCTCAAAATAAGTAAATAAACTTACAAAAAATAAAGTCAAGTAAATGAACAAAGTTTGTGAAGCCCCCACCACAGGACCTGTCACAAAGCTCACATTCCACGATGTTGAGGAGGGACTCAGGGAGGAGAGTGGAATTGGACAGTCCGGGGCTGGAAGAGCGCGTTCCAGGAAGAGGAACGAGGCGATTAGAGTCCACCTTGCCGGAGCCCAGAGTGAAGAGGGGAGGGCCTCCCTCCAAAGCCAGGGAGGAAGGTGCTGGAGGCAGACCCTGTGGCAAAGGGCTGAAGGAGCTCGGCCCATTTATCCCGGAAAATAAATTTAGACAGAGACATGACATCCCTCCTCAAATATTTAAAGGGCCGCCTCGTAAAATAGAAGTAAAACTTACTCAGTGCGCTCCAGGTGGCAGAACGAAAACACCTCCTCTCTGGAAGCAAGGGGAGGGGGGCGGTAGGGTAAACGCTTATTCCTGAATTTCTGTTAATTTGCTGTTTGCCGTTTGTCCAGGAAATAGACTTGAAAGTGCAAAAAGAAGATGTTTTAAATAATAAGTTAAATGACGCGCTGGCCATGATAGAAGAGATTCAGAAAACCAAGATGGCTGAGAGCCTGAAAGCTGAGAGCCTCAGCATGAAATTAAACGAAACGTTAGCCGAACTAGAAACGGCCAGGACAAAAATGGTGAGCTGGTGCTTTCCAGGGACGGGAGACTCTTTCCCTCAGTGAAAGATCACGATACCGGGAGAATTCGTGATTTAGACCGGGGGCTCTCAGCCTGGGCACTGCTGCTGTTCCAGGTTGGATAACCCCTTCCTGTGTGCGGCTGCCCTGTTCATCACGGGCTGCTTAACATCGCCCCTGGTCTCTACCTGCTAGATGTCAGTGGCATCCTTCCCCCGGTTGTGGCAACCCAAAATGTCTTCAGACTTTGCCCAATGTCCTTTGGGGGGGGTGGGGGGCAAAATCACCCTCTATTGAGAAGCAGTGGTCTAGTCTGAAAGGTAAACAGAGGCTACGATGGCCTCTCTCCAGGCGTTGTAAGGTGTAACGCAGGGTCCTTACAGCATCTGGCTGAAGGACTGAGCAGCCCCAGAACTTAGTGATCAATGACTATTCCACAGACTTGAAGGTGACGTTTTAAAATTTTAGCTCGGCACTCAAGGCCCTCCGTCCTTGGGGCTCAACATTTCACTCATTTGTCATTCATACACGCAACCAACAGGTCTGTGGGCAAGGAGGTAATAGAGGCTTCATCGGGCAGAAGCGCCCCAAAAGTGAATTTGAGAGGGACTAGAGTAGGAGAGGCCAGCTCAGGCCGGGGCACACAGTGGCCATTACAGAGTCTAGGCTCATGAGGACCTGCGCACAGGAGCAGGCCAGAAGGAGTTCCGACAAGAGAAATGGCAGGACTCGATAACTGATTGACGGGACATGAGCACCAAGGAGAGGAGGGTGCTGATCGAGACAGCCTGGGCTGTCAGGGCACCCAGGGCAACGATGGCATATGGGTGACGTGTTGATGGGAACATGGAGGTCACGGTGGCTCTTGTGGGGCAGGGTCTCTGTTGCAGAGAAGACGAAGAATTCAGACTTAGGCGCAGGTGGGGTCTCAACGTTCGACAGTGCCCCAAACTTTTGGCGGTCCAATAGATGTGGGGGGAAAGCAAGACAGCCAAGAAACGTGTGGTCGGAGAAGCAGGAGGGGGCGAGGAATGAGGCACTGAAGACAGAGGGGCAGGGCGGCCACGGGAAGGGGTCCGATTCACCACTTGGTGATGATTGGTAGCTTTTGCTTTTAAGAACTATGAATGCCTTGGCCTTTTCTTACAACGTTGTCCATTCATTAATTCAACCAACATGTACCGAGCAGGGATGCAGGCTGTGGGTCCGCTGGTAACTAAGGCGAGTTTCTGCTCCCCCGGACCTTCCATTCTCGCGGGAATGGGAAAGAAACGAGATCGTGCAGATCACGGAAAATGAAAGAGGATGACGGACCAGAGAGCTGTCTCGGGCTTCTCCTTTAGACAGGCAGTCAGGAAGGGCCTCTCCGAGGAGGCGCCATCGGAGCTGAGACCTGACGCGCGCGAGGAGTCAGCCATGCGAGGAGCTGGGGGAGGAGGGTACCATGCAGAACGGACAGCCCAGGCAAAGGCCCCGAGGTGGGTCTGAGTCCCGTGCCTGTGGGTGCCAAGGGGGCATCTCGCTCTCGTCGTCAGTAGCGTCACGCCCGGCTCCCAGGAGCACACGGACCCCCTGTTCCCCCAGATCGTGATGGAGGAGCGGCTGCAGCACACAGTAAAGGCCCTCCGGGACGAACAGGAAGCACAGAAACACGGATTTGAAACTGAAGTCGTGGAATACAAGGAGCAAATCAGACAGCACTCCCAGACGATCGTGAGCCTGGAAGAAAGGCTGCAAACAGTGACCGCGCGGCACAGAAAGATAGAAGGAGAGATTGCAACTCTGAAGGACAACGACCCAGGTCGGTCCAAAGAAATGCCGAGCAGGCGTTAGCGTTCGGGACAGGGCCTGGTCACCCTGCGGGTCCCCATAGGCTGATGGGTAGGAGAAGGCTGCCCCTCGCTCATTTACTGTCTGCAGAGGCTCTTTGCTTCCTGTTACACCGCAAGGTTGGGGCCCTCGAGGCCCACGTCAGACAGAAGTCACGGCAATGCGAAGGGACGTCCTTTGTGCCGAGCCAGTGAGCCGGTGGGGACGCACAGGCTGCCGAGGGTATCAGAGCAGCATGACAGAGGGTGTCCTTTCCGCATGAAAACATCCCGCGCGGGGGCCTTTCAAAGGCTTCTCTCTGCCCTCAGCAATTTGCGACTTTGTCTAATGGACTTTCGTCGCCAGCCAGTGTTGGTCTCTTAAAAAATAAACCCAAAAGGGGCTGACAAAAGAACTCAGAGCTGTGGGCACTCACTCACCCCAAATGACCCAGGCAACGCAATACATTGCCAAGACGCTGAGCTCCCGGGGGGAGAGTTCTGGAACTGGAGGCCTCGGACCAGGGTTTCTCGACCCCGGCTCCAGTGACATTTGGAACTGGCTAGGCCTTTGTCGCGGGGGCTGTCCCGCGCACTGTGGGCGTTGAGCAGTGTCCCTGGCCTCCACCCCCTGCACGTCAGCAGCACCCCCACCCCAGTGGGACTACCAGAACCATCTCCGGACGTTGCCAAGTGTCCCTGGCCGGGGTGGGGGGGGCACACTCGCCCCTGATTGAGAACCACGGTCTTGGTTGTCAACCGAATTCCCGCCCTGACAGGTGACCCAGGGTGAACAGGGCACTGTGACAAGGGCATGAAGCGGGACTCAGTTTCCCAATCCAGTTCCGGGTCAGAGGGAGGACGGTTAAGCTGGGACCCCAAGAATGACTACTTCCTTGTGACCCCACGTTTAGCGCAGTCCCCGCCATAAAGCAGACATTCCATGAGCCCCTGGTGATTGAAAGTGAGGGGGCGAGCGTGTGACTGAGGGTGAGGAGTAAGTGGGAGGCGAGGACAGGACAAGACCTGTCTGGGAGGAGAGGAGGAATAGGGAGGAGGCGCGGCCCAGGGCTTCGGGCTCTGGCTGTCACCGGCTTAGCCGAGTGGGGCTAAGAATGCATGTGGGGCTTTTTAGGCAGAGAGGGCGGCGGGGTGGGGAGGGTTGCTAAGCTGGAAAAGACGCAGGTGTTCGAGGACAGCGATGACCCTCGCGTGTCCCCCTGATTCAGCCCAGGAGGAGGTGATGCAGCGAGAGCCCCCCGCGGTGCCTCCGACGGAGACCAGTGTCAAAGACGAAGTGGGTGACACCTTGATGTGAGTACCTGAGGGGTGTGTGCACACGAGGCCGGAGACCCCTGCTTCTGGCCATGTCCTCAGAGCCTGAGAAGAGGTGCAGAGTCCGGGGCCGTCCTGCTGTTACCTGAATTTCTCAGTTCCTTTCGCAAGTCAGGATGGTGGCATGGAAAAAGATCTGGGTGGATCTATGCCCGGATCCCGAAATACAACCCCTTCCAGTTGTGGGGCCCTGGGCCCCCAGTCACGTCACCTTACTGTACCTTAGCTTCCTCGTCTGTGAAAGAAGGAGACACTTGTCATATCTCAGCCTCAGCCCAAACCCACAGGGGATGCTCTGTTCTCTCGCCATGGGTGTGTTTGCATCACGTTCAGTTTTTGTTCTGAGGGTTTTTAAAGAACGCGCTTATCCCTTCTGCTGGGACTGGTGTCCCGTGGACGCCACTGATGGAGGGTCACTTTGCGTTTCTACTTGGCCCCGTCCGGGTCCAGGCCCTGGGGGTGCCACCGAGCCTGGGGTGAGCTGACGTGGCCCGTTTCTCGTGAATTTCAGAGGGGATCTACTGGCCGCTCAGAAGGAAATCCTGTCTCAGCAGGAGGTCATCATGAGGTTGCGGAAAAACCTCACGGAAGCCCACAACCGAATGTCAGACTTGAGAGGTTTGTATGATGGCCTGTGTCTCTTGACTTCCTGACCCGCTTCGAGAAAGAACAGGCTTAAGAGCTGGAAAGGTTGGGGGCGCCTGGGGGGCTCAGTCGGTTGAGCATCCAGCTCCTGATATCAGCTCAGGTCATGATCTCACGGTTCATGAGTTCGGGCCCCGGGTCGGGCTCTGTGCTGACAGCTCGGAGCCTGGGGCCCGCTTCGGATTCTGTGTCTCCCTCTCTCTCTGCCCCTCCCACGCTCGCTCGCTCTCTCCCTCTCTCTTTCTCTCTCTCTCAAAAAAATAAAATAAACGTTTAAACCGCATTTTTAAATCCCAGTGACCTGCTTTCCTGGGCGGTCACAGCGTTTGTACCTCAGTCAGCAAGACACGTGCCTTATCAGGGGCCACTTGCCTTATCTTCTCCGCCTTGAGATGCAGCTTCTTTGGGGGAGGGGAAAATCTCCTTTTACCTAAGAGGATTTGTCTCTGGAGGCAAAGGCTGGGAGGGAGGGAGTCGTGCGTGGGCCCGCACAAACCCTAGCCCTCCCCAGCTCTGGGACCTAGAGCGGGGTAATCTCTCCACACCTCCCCTGCCTCTGATGCAAAATCACCTACATCACACCTGCTTCCTGGAGTTGGCCCCCCCCTTACACTGGGGAGGGACAAAAGAGCACGAGCAAGTCTGGCTGAACATTCCGACTTTGCTCTTCTCGCCCCACCCCCACCCCCGTTCTTTTATTTCGGCCTCCTCCTTCCCAGCCCCAGCCTCCGCGAGGCCGAAAGGCACAGGCAGGCTGTCAGGAGATAAAACCAGGTTTAGGAAAGTGGACAGAGGGCGAGGAACACTCCTCTTGTCCCCACCTCAAACCCCGTGCACCCCAAAACCTTCAGTGGCATTTGCTCCCCGCGGCTGTAACGGTTAATGCTCCCAAGGCGTTTACGGCCGACTTTTTCAAAGCGTGATTTTCGTTCATGCTGAGGTCTGAGAACGTGTAGGAGAGAGGCCGCCGAGTCCAGCTCTAGAATCGGGAGACATTGGACCCGGTTCTGGGTCTGCTATTTGCTAGTCCCATGAGTTGTTTAGGCAAGTCACTTTACCTCTCTGAGCCTCAGTTTGTGCATCTGTGAAGCGGGGGTGTTCCTGGTAACTAACCTGTCGGGTTACCATGAAAATCTGAGGCCATGCGAGTGTCTCAGTTTGGATTTTCCCAGAAGCCGACCCTGAGGCCAGAATGCCAGAATTCCAGAATTCCGAGGCAGGTGGTGTATTTGAGAGGCGATCCCAGGGGGAGGCAGTGGTGGAGGTGCCAGAGAAGCGGGACAGGGACGGGAATAACAGCTGTGCTGTCAGTCAAGGGCAGAGAGGGCAGCTGGGGTTGAGCCCTGCAGGGGAAGGACGCCAGGAGCAGGGTACAAATCAGCCGCCGGGCTGCCCGCCTGAGGGGGAGGAAGCCAGTCTCACCTGCCTCGGCTGGAGGCTGAGAGCAGACTCCCGAGTCCTTAGCACGAACGCCCTTAGGCAAACAGGTGCAGAGGCAGGCAGCTGGAGGTCGGCCAGGGAGCTCAAAATGCCAGAAGCACAGAGGCGGGGCCCTGACAGCTTCTGGAACCTGGGGCTGTACTTTGCTGTAGTTTGCTAAGGTGCAAGCAGACCCTGGCCATTCCTAACGCCCCCGCCCACCACAGACACACACACACACACACACACACACACACACAC